CCGTCGCCGCGGCCGCCATCGGCGGCGGCGGCATCCTCCCAGACGGAATCGTCGGCAGCTTCGGGCTTCACCCAGCCGATGAACTCCTTGCCGTAGATTTTGACCTTGTTCTCCTCCGTGCACTCGAGGCCGTACACGTTTTCGAACATGCAGTTCTGGAAGTCGGTGACGAAGCGGCGGTAGGTGTCGTCGGAGGGGAATTTGAGCGCCCAGACGCCGTCGGCGACGAAATCGACGCGACGCTGGTCGCCGAACATCTTCAATTGCATTTCGGAGGAAACCCTAGCGCGGACCTTGGAGCCGACGGTGAGGAACCAGACGTCGTCGTTTTCGGTGTCTTTGAGGAAGGCGTAGGTGGTGCGCTTGTCGGAGAGGATCCATTTGGCGTTGGGAGTGTTGCCGCCGATGTGGAGGTAGAGCTTAACGGCGTTTTGCGGAAGCGATTTGGCGGAGGAGGATGAAGGTGTTCGGTATTTGAGTTTTAAGGCTTTGAGTTTAGCGTCGACGTCTTCGAGGTCGGTGGAGTGGGAAGCTGAGGTGGTTTGAGCGTCTTTGTAGTGTTGTTCATTTTCTTCTTCTTCTTCTTCTTCGTGTTCGTGTTCGTGTTCGTGTTCTTGTTCGTAGTCGGAGTCTGAATCGGAAACTTCGAGGCCCTCGCGGCTCTGAGAGGTGCCCATGGAAATTGGTTCTCTGATTTGGTGGAAGGATCGAAGGAGCCAAATGTAATGAAATGAATTTGATTTTAATTTTGATTTTGATTTTGATTTTCGAATTCAACGGCGGTTTTATAGCGTCCCTAGCGGCTAGTCAGGCGTGGATTTAACGCACTTTTAAATTAAATTAATTAAATAAATAACTTTATATCGGAGCCAAGCGGCGCCAAGCTTTGTGTTGAGGTGTCGTTTACTTTGTAGCTAAGTTTGGATTTGGATTTGGAGTGAGTGATGGCTTTTCGGTATTGGGCTCGCGTTTGGACCGTGTCACACACGCTATTTGCACTTCTTTTTCTTTCTATATCCATACTTTATTTTATATATACCCGAAAGAAAGAGTGATATTCTTTGCCTTTTGTTAAAAAAAATAAAATAAAAAGATCATTTATCATTGATTAAAGTATAAAAAATAGTTCCACCAAATCGCAGTTATTCCTATTTAAAATTTGAGATCATTAATTTGAATAAATATGATATATTTTTTTTGAACAAGAAAATATTTGCTAAAAAAAATAGTTTGAGTAAATCAGAATTTGAAAATAACTACTTAAATTAAATTTAATTCATTGAAAAATTTTAAGCTAAAAAAAATGGGTCGCAACAACTTTTAAAATAAATAAAATGTAAATTATTTCAAAGACACCTATGAGAATACTTTCTACTTCAAACATGATAATTATATAAAGTGAGTAACTTGAAAAAGCATGTTTTATGGATTAATCGAAATGAATAAATTATATGTATAAATTTCAATGTATTGATAAAAAAAACAATTATTAATCCACAAATTGTTATGATTACTTTACATTAATCTTAAGACATTTAAAAGTAAATGATGGAATTTAATCATGTTATTGAACTTAGTAACTTGTTTTAAACATGTTATTGTAATAAAATTCTAAAATAAAACTTGATCAAATAATTTAAAATTATGTCGTAGATAATAAATAACAATAAATTAAATAATTTTAAACTATAATTCAAGGTCACATATTTTATTAGATTACTTCTTATTAATTAAACTTCATTACTAATGTTATTAATGAGTATCACCTATATCAACATATATAACAAATAATATAGAAATAAGGAGAATAAAAAATATCTTATTCTGACTAATAACATAAAATAAGGTTGGATAGCCAACACACAAAACATAACATGTATAACATCAACAACATAATTACACGAAACATTAACTCTCATTATAAGAATTAAAAGCTCATTCACAACGTAACATATCATTAGTATAAATGAACAATACATATTCACATTCACATATGAGATGAAATGCAATGGATATCAACTATGATTTGCATGTATGGTAAATAAGTCATATTGACAAGCAAGTAAATTCTGTTTATTACGTTTTATCTCAATGGATCCCTCGTAAATGAGAGTCAAGGTGCCCCACATCATTTTTGCATTTTTAAACTATGTACCTTTCCATATTCATCCTTAAAGAATGCACACATGATGAAGTTGTGGGATTTGGAATTGAGGAGATATCCCTACTTCTATTTAATCATCACTCCATCAAGCTTGTGGGATCTCGTTCATGGTTTCATCCATGGGAATGTAGTTGCCCCTGTCTATTATGTCCCACATGTCTATGTGGCATCCATAAAAGTGAAATATATCATTTTTTTTGGTTCCTAAGAAGTTAAACTCTGATACCAATTGAAAGTGAAACAAACACTTATGGTGTGTTTGGATGAGAAATTTTACAAATTCAAGAAATTTTAAATTCTTGGTATTTGAATTACTTTGATTTCAATTTCTATCATTTTTAAAATAGTTTGTTTGGATGAGTCAATTTAAATTTCTTAAATTTTAAATTGTTAAGTTGAATATGATAATTTGATTCTATCATAATAAAATTGATTTTAAAAATATATTTATATGTTGAGATTTTTAAATTAAATTTTATAAAAATAAATATTAATTTATTTTTAAATATTCAATAATTTTAAAAATTAATATTAGATAATGTTTAATAATTTTAAAAATTAATATAAGATAATATTTAATAATTTTAAAAATATTTTTGAATATCCAATAATTAAAAGAATGAAGAGATAAGATAAAATATATAGGTGAAATAAGAAAAACAAATATGAGGAATTTCAAATTCTCCCATTTTTTAGAGAATTTGAAATTCTACTATTTTAAGGAATTTCACAAATGCTTGAATTTCAAATTCTTTGTAAATTCCTCATCCAAACAAAGCATTTCACCTCAAAGAATTTGAAATTCCCTAAATAAATGAATTACCCTATATAAATTCCTCATCCAAACACACCATTAAAGAGGTTGAATGTGTGTTTGAAGATTTTTTTTGCAACTTTTTCGCAAAGGACAAATATAATAGTTATTTGTTTGCAAAGACTTTCATTTAGGAAAACTTGAAGGATAAAAGTTTTGACACAATTTGCTTTTATACCGGTTCATTTAAAAACATTCCTTTCATGTGCATACATGTAAAATGGAAGAGAAAAAAAGAGACGTAGGAAGAGAATGAAAAAGGGAAAAGAAAGAGGAACAATAACTTACAAAATGAATAATATATGTTGAAAAAAATCAAGGAGATCATAGAATGATTGGTGAGGAGGACCAAAGACATAAATGTGACTTGTGAGGACACTACAACAAATTTGTCATATAATGACACACATCCTATAGTAACACTATACATGTCACTAAAAATTATTTTTACCGACACAATAATTACAATATATGTTGGTATATTATTAAAAAGTGTGGGTATAGACTATTGTGACACACAAAATATGTTGTTAAATCTCATTTAAAATCAACACTAAAATTGTGTGTAATTATATGTCAAATAGACATATATATACCTACATATAGTGACACTTTTTATATGTCACTATATGTAACATTTCTTGTAGTGAGAGGATGTCTATGGTGGGATTTTCCAAGGATGGAGAGGTTAAAGACTTAGGAGTAACTGTGGGTACAAGAAAAACAAACATAAACTGGTGTGGTGTGACACAGATTAAGGTTTAACTTAATTGACAATATTTATATATATTACATTAATTTTGTAATTGTATTAATAGAGAAGAAGGGACAAACAAATAAGAATAATAATGAATCAAACTATTTTAAAAATAGTTTTGAAATTTGATTTAATAATTAATTCGTTGAACTTAGTTCATGAATCAAATGAGTTGAAATTGAGTTAAAAATTAAACTTAATATATAAATAAGCTGAACTTAAATTGTACATAATTCAACTTACCTAATTCATGAATTAGATCAACATATAAATATATAATTTATATCCATATTTTTAAAATTTGATCGATTATTAAACCAACTTAAATATTAGTTTAAGTTTCAATAATTGATATTAATAAGATAATAATAATAATAATAATTTATTATTATTATTATTATTATTATTATCATTAATGAGAAAATAATATTGAATATATAAGGTTAAATACCTCTTTTGGTCCTTTACAATGTTTTTTTGTTTCAATTTAGTCCCACTTTAATTTTTGGTCTCAATTTGGTCTCTAATAACTTAATTTAGTGCAATTTGGGACTTCCGTCCAAATGATTTAGACGGAGTTAACTGTTGGCCACGTGGCATCTACGTGGATGCCACGTGGATGCGCACGTGGACGCGAAAATTCCAGAAAAAAACCTGAAACCAAAACGGCCCGTTCTGAAACCAGAACGACCGTTCTCAAACTAGAAAGGGTCGTTCTGCTTTTAGAACGGGTCGTGCTGCTTTTAGAACGGGCCGTTCTGAATTCAGAACGGCCCGTTCCAGAACGCCATGCTTTTTATTATATATATATATTTTTTATATCTATATTAATAAATATATAATAAATAAAAAATACAATAAATTAATATTCATTTATGAATAAAACAAAAAAAATCAAATAAGATAAGACCTTCCAAAATATTTCTTTGATTTGAATTTATCCAGTTCAAAATCTTGATTAAAATGCCGCAATGTATTTCAAAAATTGAAAATAAAATTTAGGGTTTAGGGGTACCTCCTCAAGAACAGGTTGTTATTGTTGGGGTACATCGTCAATGACTTCAAGGAAAAATACTGTTTCATTTTATCCTTGACTGTATAGTGTCAATTTGGTAGTAAGTGGTTCACTCTAGTTTGACTAACAATGAAATAAAACTTGTTACCATTGTCCTTAGTGATACACTGCATCATCCTTAATGATATATTGTATAGCCCAAATGTTTAGCAATTGAAGTTATTAATCCTCATTAACAATATTACCAAATCTAGTGTTTGAAATACTTTGTATTTTGGTTTTTTTGGGCACGAAATTCTAGACCAGAACGGCCCGTTCTGAAACCAGAACGGTCTGTTCTGGTTACACTGTTGGTGTGTTAATTTTGGACCTGGAATGGCCCGTTCCAGGTGCAAATTTTACACACCAATAGTGTAACCAGAACGGGCCGTTCTGGTTCTAGGTGTATTCAAGTATTTTTTGATCCACCTACGTGGCATCTACCTGGCATCCACGTAGCCACCAGTTAACTCCGTTTAAATCATTTAGACGGAAGTCCCAAATTGGAACGATTTAAATTATTGGGGACCAAATTGAGACCTAAAATTAAAGTGGGACTAAATTGAAACAAAAAATATTGTAAGGGACCAAAAGAGGTATTTAACCAATATATAAAATATCATAAACCATGTCTAGTTGTTGGGTAGAAAGGAATTGGGATAGTTAGAAGCATGAAGATCTAGGTTCAATCCTTATTGCGACCATCTTTGTAATTTTTCTATTTTTACCAAAAAAAAAATATATAAAATATCATAATTTTTTAATACTAAAAATTAAATAAAATTATTTATGGGTTCTTGACATTCAATGTATACACAAAGTCCAAACTAAATATAACATAATATTTAAAAGTTTAAATTTTAATAAACTAAAATAATTTTCATTAACATTAACAAGTTTACATCTTAAGTTAATAATATCAAATTAATATAATTTAAATTATAAACACTCAAGCTATAAAAAATTGCAAATTAGATAAATGATTTATATATATATATATATATATATATTTATTT